ACCACGCCCGGCTGATTTTTTGATTTATTGTAGAGATGAGGTCTCGCTGCCCAGGCAGGTCTCGAACTCACGGGCTCAGGCAATCTACTCACTTCAACCTCCCAAAGGCGTGGGATTACAGGCTGAGCCACCAAGCCCAGCATGATAATTCTTTTAAAACTCTAAATTGGCTGGGTGCAGTGGCTCACGCCTGTAATCCCAGCACTTTGGGAGGGGCGGAGTCAAGAGGATTGCCTGAGCTCAGGAGTTCGAGACCAGCTTGAGCAACATGACAAGACCTCGTCTCGACAATAAATCAAAAAATTAGCCGGGCATGGTGGCACATGGCTGTGGTTCCAGCTACCTGGAAGGCTGAGGCAGAAGGATCATGCTGAGCCCAGCAGGCCAAGGCTGCGGTGGCCGTGAGCATGCCACTCACTGTACTCCAGCCTAAGCAATAGATACGCCAACTCAAAAATAAAGAAATAAATAAAACTCCAAGTTGGTTTTTTTTCCTGCTGAAATCATTGCTTCTCTCTTCATTCACAGAGTTCTGATGGTACATTTGAGTATTTAGGGATGAAAATGTGTATTTTCTATTTAACAGAATGTTTGCACTTCTCTTAGAATTTGTTTGAAGATGGTTTGGGTGTGGCTTTGAGTGACTGGGGTTTGGTGACTAGATTCAGAATCTTTTTAGAGTTGCTGGTTTCCTCTTAGAATAGAGTGACAGGGTTGCAGGATGCCTTTAAGCTGATTTCAACTTGATGGTCATGTTGGCAGCTATGAGCATTTATCTAATATATGCCAGTGGCTTTTCAGATGCTGTAGCATAGGAATAGGACACAAATATAAGCAAGACATATCTGGTGCTTCCCTTAAGAGAGTGCAGAATTGAGCAGGGGTTGATGACAGAAATGTAAATCATTCATTACTGATTGTATGTCCTTGGAGATGGTGAACTGCTGGGAGATTGTCCTGGTGCTGAGTGCTGTTTGCTGAGCAGAGGAGGGAGCATAACCAACTTCCTGGGGAAGGCATCCAGAAGGTGACAGGGACCTCAGATGTCCCAGATATGATGAACTAGCATCAGGGTGTGCTATAAAGGAAGTCCGATATGACCCTCATCCATGTATGTGTGGGGCAAGGTGGGCGGCGTGGAGCAGGCACAGGGCTTTAGCTATCTTGAGAATGATCTATGTTTTTGTTAAACCTACTTTTGTTTGGGGGAATTTAATGTGACTCTTAGTATGTCTGGATCAGTGTAATTATTATCTATATTCTTTCAATGGGGTTAAAAAATGTAAACGTAAAATTTTCCAGTTCATTCTGATTCATCATTATTGTAAAGGTAGAAGCTCAGAACTCAAAATCTTCCCTAAAGCAACAAATTCTGTTTTCAATCTGACTCTTAGGTTATAAAAATAGGATCCTCTACAGTAATACTTCCTATTTTCAAAGCACTGTTATCTACATTATCATATTTGGTCCTCGCATTGTTATCCCTATGTTACAGGTGAGAAAACTGAGGTTCAGCAAGGTCAACTGACTTCTCTGCATAAGTGGGACCTAGGGTAAGAACCTCCATGAACAGTTTGATCCTGATTTTCCAGGTGGAGGATTTTGTTGATAGGATAGCATTAAGGAATCTCTTGGAAATCAATTTTTACAAATTAAAATGATCATCACAAATGCCAGGTGTCCCACCAGAACTGGGTGGGGTATTTTGCTGTTAATATAATAAAGAGACCTTTCCTCTTAGCAAATTCTGAGGTGGAATTTCTCTGGTGGCAGGATAACCAGAGGTACAGGGTTCAGGCTGAGACCAGCCCCAGTAGTAAGTAGGAAGTCAAGAATGGATGAATTATAACTCCTTAGATTTGGAGCTCTTCTAAATATGGGGGCTTTATAGAAGAGTGAATCCTTTTCCAGGAACTAGTGAGTGTAGTGAAATTAATACCCCAGAGATAACATACACGTTAAAGACATACTTTTGCCCATGCACAGCCCAGTCCTCATTCTGACCATGCTGCCCTACCTTAAAAAAAAAGTTTACCATAGACTTTTCCTGTGACTTCTTTGTGTTGTAGAGCTTGGTTAATGCCTTAACTGAGTTTTTAAATTTCCCCTTATTTGTGTTTCTTCTTTCCCACGTGACCTGGACATTCTTCATGTGTTTAAAAGTAGTAATTGTCATTTAGTTGGAAAGAAGGGTAAAAGTTTTGGGCTAAGTATCTTGTAATATTTTTGTTTGTGTGAAATGTACAGGTTGTGGAATGTCTAGGGTTGTCATCTCAAGGACCTCCTGCAATCGTTTGCTTTTTTTCTCTTGAAAATCAACTTTCATCTAATCTTCCCTTACGGCCAATCTAAAGCAGCCCCCAAGTGACTCTCCAAACACCACTCTGTTTTTGTTTCATCATAGCAGTTATTGACATCTGGTATTTTCTTATTCATTCATTCATTCACTTCTTTTTTCCCATCTCTACCCCATATGTAAACTGCCAGTGAGCTGGGACCTTTTCTTTCTTATTCAATGTTGCACCCAGCGTCTTGGACAGAGGCTGCTCCGTGTAGACATTTACGAGTGTCCCTCCTATTGGTGTCCTCAGTGTCTATTATTTCCATCTTTGTGACTTTTTTTAACTCCCACATATGAATGAGAACATGCGGTGTTTGGTTTTCTGTTTCTGAGTCAGTTCGCTTAGGCTGATGACCTCCAGCTATATCCATGCTGCTGCAAAGGACATGATTTCATTCTTTTTATGTCTGCTGTTAACTTAATTAACTTCTCTTGATACGATTTTCTGATTTTGATTCTTTTAAGATTGAAAAGTTGATGGCAGCATGTCTTGCCCACTGAAACTCATCCTGCTTCCCGCGTTACTGGGTAAGTAGAAGCCAAGGGACCAGGGTTGGGGGGATAGTGGGGAGCAGTGTTTGGTTTCTTAGAAGTCCTGTCCATTTTAAAAGACTAATTATATATGCTTTTAATTTCCTTGGGTTTGTTGAAAATGCAAGCCCTAATGTGGAACTTCATAGTTTTGCTGGATGTTTTAGAAGAGATGTTTTAGAAGCCTGTTACCATATAGTTTCTTGGAAAGCAGAATCTTCCTCTGTTTCTCTTAGAAACAGAATGCCTTTGGGTCCTAACTGGGTGTTCTAGAACCCGCTCGTGTGACACAGAGATCGTTTTTCTATGGCATTCCTGCACTTTAAGTTGTTATCTTTCAAACCATAGCTAGTTTTGGATCAGGAACTGAAATTACCCAAGAGAGGCCCAGAATCCCTTTTATTTTTCTCAGGCTACAGCTACATCAGCTTTCTTGCGGTTCCTCACATACACTGTGGTTTCCTTTGCCTGGAAACTTCCTTTAGATACCTCACCCCAGCAAGCCCGTCCAAGCTTCCCTATCCTTTGAGTTTCCCCTAGGCTCCACTTCCTTCTAAGGAGACTGCCCTGGCCGCCTCCTCAGCCCAGGCTGGAGTCTCCTGTTGATACCTCACTGATGTGCTCGGGGTTGCTGCTCATTGCTCAATTCCAGGCCGTTCTAACTTTTCACCCCAACCCCCATCTCTCTCCTTATTCCATGGATATAGCTCTGTAGGAAGAAGAAATTAATTAGGTGCTTTGCTCTTATAGCCTTTTACTTTTCTCTTTATTATTTTTCGAACTGTGGACGGTGATTTAAACACTGATTCAGCAAAGTACACAGAAGAGTTGCCTGAGCTCCAATTGCAGGCAACACAGAGTATACAAATATGTACATACACACAAGCGTGCACACACACGCACACACAAAAATGGAAGCAAGGCATTTAGACATCTCCCCAGAGGTCTGCAAAGCAGCTTGCAGATTTTTGCCCTTCTACCTAGAGAGCTGCCAATCCGACCCCTGTATGCAGTGGCTTGGTGGCATTGGGGGTTTTGTACATCTTTGTGGAAGAGGTACAAAGTCTCATTTTCTTCAGCCATTTTTCTACTAAGGTGACCCTTCAGACATCAGCCTCTCTTCACTTTTGTTGCTTTCTAACTGTCCTGCATTTAATTCAACATACAGTGCTCTTAATAGGAAATATGCTGATTATACTTTAACCACATGTAGAGTTGCTCAGTTCTTCCTCATAGGAAAATTCCAAATAGTTGTTGGAGCTAATTTTGATTTCTTTCAAAATAATTCCCTCTGAAGGGTTTAGGGTTCACGTTTTCTTTTTCGTCCTCCCTGCTGTGTGAGCCTGCTGTTGGGCAGGAAGTTAACTCTCTTCTCTCAGGGCAACAGCTTGGATGAAAAGACTGGCACATTTTCTGTTCATTCCCATATGTGTTCACTTGGCTCTTCTTTGATACACACTGGGCAGCATCTTTCTTGATTTTGCTGTCCTTTGCATAGAGCATATCTTGTGAAAGCAGGAATATCTATGTCATGGTTTTCTTTTAGTGACCTCTTGAAATTTCTTGAGCAACTTGCAAATAATGGGCAGGAGTCCCTGTGTGAACCTTCGAGAGACTGAAAAGCCAGAGCTGATGGCAAGGCTGGAAAGGGGTGAGGTGGGGAGAGGGCAAACACAGGAAATTCAGGGGAAAGCTGTGCTCTGTATTGGCCTAGTTACAAGGAACTGCATTACCGCCTCAGCCAGCAGATGCAGAGATAAGCTTTTGTAAAAAACTAAAGAAAGGGAAAAAAGGAAATAAACAAAAGGTGACATGAATTGGCTTTTCAGATAGGGAACTGGTGGGACACTTAAGAGCAAGAAACCTCCCATTTCCTGTTTATGGTAAGTGGATGGGGGTATCCAAGTTGATGATAAGAAAGGAAAGACTGCCAGCTCAGTGGCTCAGCCTGTAATCCCGCGCTTTGGGAGGCTGAGGTGAGTGGATTGCCTAAGCCCGCGGGTTCGAGACCTGCCTGGGCAACTTGGTGAGCCCTCATCTTTACAATAAATAAAAAAAAAA